ATATCCTGAGTTCCTCTGTGCCAAGGTTAATGAAATAATCCTTATTCTGCAGTCCAACCAAGCTCAAGATAATATCCTGAAAGCTACTAACAGTGCTCCCAGTATCCGACTTATGTAAAATTAAATTCCTGCTTGGAAAAATGAAAGTTCCAAACAATAAAAAAACATAAAAATTGGAGAAAATGATGACAATAATATTTTAAGAAAAATAAATGTATACATTTCCAAGCAAATGTTGTTTCATTACTGGTATTTAATTGCGGTTTAAAACTAAACACAGGGGGCTTCTGGGAAGATGGTTGCGTAGGAGGATTCTGAGCTAACCGCGTCCTGTGATCACTTAAATTCCACCCAAACCTGCCTAAATAACCAAGAAAATCGCCAGAAGACTAAGAGAATGGATTCTCTGGATGCAAGCCTAGACGAGAGGTCCACGGAAGAGGGTAGGAAGGGCGGCAAGGCGGTGCGCACTACACGGACTGGTGGGAAGGAGCCGGGGCAGAGGGGCAGCCCTCCAGCAGCGCAGCTCCCTGGAGTCTGGCTGGCAAAAGCGGAGGGGACAGACGGAGAGTGTTCTAGGAACAAGCGGAACTTAATATCTGGAAGGTTATAAGATAATAGCTCTGCTCAGAGAATGGGAGGGCTGGTGGACAACGGGAGAGAGAGTTGTTAAGCCCCGGATGACAGAGCGCAGCTTAGCTGGGAACAAAGGCACTGGCCAGCACCATCTCCCTTGCCCATCCCCCAGCCAAAATCCCAAAGGGAACCAGTTCCTGCCAGGAAACTTGCTTGCACCACACAAACACCCAATTCTGTGCTTCTGCGGATCCATCCCTCTGGCAGGTCTGACTCCCTCCCGGTGCCACAGGGCCCCTCCCGAAGAGGATCTCTGAAGGAAAAGTAAGCTGAGCCTGCCCCTCTTGCCAATGTGCACCTTGCCGATCCACCCCAGCTAATATGCCAGATCCACAAGCCTGGCAGTGTGCAAGTAGCCCAGAGGGGCCACGCCA